ATCTTGTTAAGGGCGATTTTGTAACATCATGCACTGGTCATTTAGAAAATACTTGTTCCCTGAGTTATGCAGATTTTCCAAATGTTGAAACATTTCATTACACAATATTTTTAAAAATTATGTTTGTTAGTATTAACACATATCCCACAGACAAAAAAATGTAAGCATTAGAAAACTGTCTTGCTCATGGTGGTAAATACAAGTTTTCCAAAATTCTATTTTTCCTATGAAAGTTAAAATTTTATCCTTGGCAACAAATACTATCAGTTCCTTCCCTAGAAGAGGCATACTCATTTTGCTCATTTTCAATAAAATATCTGCCAATTACCCAAGTTTGAATAGTCATAGGTTGTCAGCTGTTTTCTCAAATAAAAATGGTGCTCCATGAAGAATGCAGCTTGTCTAGCTCTCAATTCAATCACATGTGTGTCCTTCCTCAAGACAACCGTCAGCTTTGACATGCAGCACATGTGTCTAGGCATATTTCCCATTTAATACCCCCACCGAATATTAAAAATACATATCTAAGAATAGGGATTTATAAATGTCACAGATTCTATTGCTTCATCAAGGAATTCTTACGTGAAACTGACTTTTTTTAAAAATTCTAAATGTGGGAGATTGAAGGCTATAATGACTACTAGTACAGTTTGGTGCCACTGCTTTGATTCATGGTGAGGTGCCAGAAGTTTTACCATTGTCGCTTTTGCAACATCAATGCAAAAATAACACAATGAAGAAAGAAAACAATTCCATTATAAATGAAGAAAGTTAAGGAGAAAAAAAAAAAAAAAACCAACCAAACATCTCATTTGATAGTTTCTTTTCATTTAGTGACTATATTTTTTTCATTTCCAGAATTTCTATTTGGTTCTTTTCCAAATACACCTGTTCTTTTTTTTATGTTGTCTCATTCTTGGTTTATAGATTCTCTTCCAACCCTCACATCACTGAACACTTTAGTTCCTGGGCTGTGAAGTCTGTCATTTATTGTGTCTCCTAACTCTCTTTTATGGTTGTTTCCTCATCTGGTCTGCAACACTTGACTATGTGCTGTCTTTAGTGGGAGTTTTTTTCCTTGGGAGTCTTGCATTTCCTGAGTTAATCCCTATGAGACAGTCTGGTTTTAAAGTAAAGTCCTCAGGGTTTCTGCATTTCATGGATGCTACCAATTTGGACCCCACCAGTGCTGATGGCGGCCTCAGGAACTGATTCCTCTTGGGTGACTCTTTTCCATTTATACTCTGGGCAGGCAACCAGTTTCTTTGCTGGCCCCCAGAGATCATTCTGGATTCCCAAGCAGAAGATAATTTTATTCTGTATTATAGGAATGGAGAAGACTGGGCCGGGCTCCCACTCTACTGTGTACCGCTGTATCAGAACACATCAAATTTTCCCTCTGAACTGGGTCTTTTCATTAGCTTACAATATATCCTCTCTCCCATGATGAGAAAGCTTTCTTGACCCTATTCCTACCAACTGCTGTCACCCTCTTTCTCTACTTCCCTTTTTACAATAAAACTATGCAGAAGGATCATCTTTATTTGTGGGCTCCAATTTCCCTCTTCCTATTCTCTCATAAAATCACTCTGAATATGGCCTTTCCCCCTCACCTTCTAAAATTACCACTGTTAAGATCACCATTGACCTCCACATTGCTAAATTAAGCGGTTAATTCTCTGTCCTCATCTTACTTGATCTACCAGCAGCTTGTGGCATAGTTGATCACTCTTTGACTCACTTTCTTACTTGGCCTTCAGGATTCCCTAATCTCTTGGTTTTCTTCTATCTTACTGGCCATTTCTCATTTCCCTTTGCTGGTTTCTCACTTTCTCCCCAGTCTCATAAGCTGGGCCACCAACCCAGGGCTCAGTCCTTGGTCCCTTTCTCTCTTCCATCTATTCACACTCCCCTAAGGGAGCTCATTTAGTATTAAGTTTTTAAACACTGTCTATACTCTAATATTAGAATATTTGACATCTTCAACTGCACATTTAGGGGACAATGCAAACTACATATATATCCAAAATTTAACTCCTGATCTTTCCCCTGAATAAGTTGCGCCCCACAGTTTCCCCATTTCAGTTAATGACAACTTCTTTTTTGACTCTTCCCTTTTTCTTACAACTCTACATCCAATATCAGCAAATTCTAATGGTTCTACCTTCACATTTTATCCAGAATCCAAGTATTTCTCATGACTTCCAATACTACCATCTGGTCAGAACCACCACCATCTTTCTCCTTATTGCAATAGTTCCCCCAGCCAACCTCCTTGCTTTCATGCCCTTTCCCCCACTCTTTAAATTCTCAACCAAGTAGCCAGAGCCATCCCTTTAAAATGAAAGTCATATCAGGTCACTCCTCTTCTCAAAATTCTACAATGACTCCCCACTTCACTCAGAGAAAAGCCAGTCTTCACTCTGGCCAACCTATCTATGTAATCTGCCTCCTCTCCCAATTTCCACTTTGAACATCTCTCATACAACTCTGCCCTTTGTTCACTCCATTCTAGCCACAAGAGACCCTGTGCTGTCCCTCAAACTGTAGCAGGCATGTTCCTATGACCTGTACCATTCTACCTGTAGATATTTGCATATCCTCACCTATCTTACCTACTTTGTTCAGATGTCATNTGTCTATACTCTAATATTAGAATATTTGACATCTTCAACTGCACATTTAGGGGACAATGCAGACTACATATATATCCAAAATTTAACTCCTGACCTTTCCCCTGAATAAGTTGCACCCCACAGTTTCCCCATTTCAGTTAATGACAACTTCTTTTTTAACTCTTCCCTTTTTCTTACAACTCTACATCCAATATCAGCAAATTCTAATGGTTCTACCTTCACATTTTATCCAGAATCCAAGTATTTCTCATTACTTCCAATACTACCATCTGGTCAGAACCACCACCATCTTTCTCCTTATTGCAATAGTTCCCCCAGCAGATCTCCTTGCTTTCATGCCCTTTTCCCCCCTCTTTAAATTCTCAACTAAGCAGCCAGAGCCATCCCTTTAAAATGAAAGTCATATCAGGTCACTCCTCTTCTCAAAATTCTACAATGACTCCCCACTTCACTCAGAGAAAAGCCAGTCTTCACTCTGGCCAACCTATCTATGTAATCTGCCTCCTCTCCCAATTTCCACTTTGAACATCTCTCATACAACTCTGCCCTTTGTTCACTCCACTCTAGCCACAAGAGACCCTGTGCTGTCCCTCAAACTGTAGCAGGCATGTTCCTATGACCTGTACCATTCTACCTGTAGATATTTGCATATCCTCACCTATCTTACCTACTTTGTTCAGATGTCATTTCCTCAATGAGGCCTGCCCTGACTACCCAAAATTTGGTTCAGATGTCAAGACAGGTGCCACACATGCATCAAGAGGGTACAAAAAGGTTTACTGATCACAGAATAAGGCTTTCAGAGGACAGCAGGGCAGATTCACAAACAGGCTGAAGATATCTTGGGAATGCAGGAAAAGGAGACTGGCTTGGGGTTTTAGGGTGGTCAGTGGGTGGCACTGGGATAAGGGCTCCCACACGTTGGCCAGGACTTGCATGGTTTGAACTTCCCACCAGAACCAGAGGGGGAGCAACTGGGTTTTCTTATCTACTTTCCCAGGTGTTGCAAAGAAAGAGATAGGAGACTGGCTTGGGGTTTTAGGGTGGTCAGTGGGTGGCACTGGGATAAGGGCTCCCACACATTGGCCAGGACTTGCATGGTTTGAACTTCCCACCAGAACCAGAGGGGGAGCAACTGGGTTTTCTTATCTACTTTCCCAGGTGTGGCAAAGAAAGAGACGGAGAAGTGGGGCTTGGAAGCTGTCAGCCACCAAACATCAAAATGGAGTCACACCCTCTATTATAACCACACAGTTTCAAAGTGATGACTCTTCTCCGCCTCAACCTCTACTCCTGATAGTCTTCATAGCATATATCACTTTTGGCCACACTATATAATTTACTTAATTATTATGTTTGTAGTTATTGTCAGCCTTTTTATTATGTATTTGAATATAAACTCCATAAGGGCCAGATTTTTGTCAGTATTATATATTTTGTCTATATTGTATATATGAGTAATTGGGACACTGATTATCTCAAGAGCTTAGAACAGTGCCTAACATATTGCAGGTGCTCAAAATTATTTTTTGAAAAAATTAATGAATAGTAAGATAGGAAATTTGTGCATTATTAAACAAATCATTGTTGAACATGTCAGAGAACCTCCTGATGGAAGTGCTTATCACAAACGGTATGGGAAACTCTTGAAAGTACATTTGCATATCATCAAATATGAAAAAAAAAATCACTGTAATGGTATTGTTTTTAAACTATTCTACCTACTTTTTTCTAGACCTGTGAGCATATGGATACAGGAACTATATTACACTCAACTTTGTTTCCTCAGTGGCTAGATGAGAACCTGGCAGTGGTAGTTACCAGATACTGGTTGAGTAAATGAATGAGGCAATGAACAAGTTAAATGAAAGATCTGACCCTAACAATTGCAGCACATATCAATAACCAGCCACCTACAATAGTTTCTTAAATAATTCAGCACAACATAGTTCAGACGATGTTACTTTTTCAAAATAGAGCTTGATTTTAATATTTATATTCAGTGTTTAAGGAAAAACAAAAACACTCCATAGGTTTTATTCATAAAAAGCTATAAGGAATTTAGGTACAGTCTTTTAAAAAATAAATTAAGTAAATGAAAAATCAAAGCACTGTTAATTTGTTCATTCTATAAATGATATTAAACATGCTAGCTATGTGTTTTAATAACACAATTGCTTCACTGAGAAATATAGTTTTAAGTACAGTAACATATGAAAACTCCCCTAAATAGTAAAAAGCAAGTATGCTCTATGGATCTAGAAATTTCCAAAACCTACATAAGTTTTAAGTATATTTAACAAACTAGGGTGAGGAAGAAACTCCCTTCAAATGTGTACCTCTTCTATGCATGAAGAGACTCACCTGTATGCCGCCCGGTGTCTCTGCAGAGCAATTGCAGCCAGCTGAAGCCTGGCCTCCACCACAACCTCCAACTCGCCAGCAGAACACTGGGACAGGTTCTTGGGGCCAGCAAGCTCCACCTCTGTCATAAGGCAGTTCAGCTTCTCTTCAGCTTCCGTCAGTAAAATTGACTAAATAATGAACACCACACAATCAGAAATCATACAAATAATGTCTCGTTATTATCACATATTTTTCATGTACTGAAACATAACAATGGATTCTAGACCGAAATGGAAATCTGTAGCTAACCATCATCTTCTTTTTCATTCAGACATGAGAAGAAGAGCAGAGAGCTCAGTGAACAGGAAAAAAGCAAGAGAAAATGAAAAGGAAAGTAATACAAGCGTAAGCCTGTACAACACTACCCTGTATTGTATGTACAGCCAATGCTCATCATGTGCAGAAGTTGTTCTATAAAATTGTCACAAACACTGATTAATGAATACTAAAACATTGCTCCTAGGGGAAATACAGAGATAGGTTCCTATGAGCCTATAGTCACAACATTTTCATCAACTGATCAATACATAACCTTGTTTAATGTTGTTTACGTGTAAGGACACATTACTTAATATATATTGTAGGTCCATTCACGTTGAACTCACAGCCAATAGCGTTATAACTCATGTCTGAACGAAACTTATCTAACACGCATATTTTCTCTGTAAGGCACAGCACAGCCTTCTTCCACTTAGAAACACTAGACAGCACTTCAACACTATGCTTTTTCATCTTAAAGTGAAGTTGCCAACAAAAAAGCACAAAAATGTGAAAAACATGGTACCAAAGAGACCATAAAAAGGACACGAGCTTACAATATGAGAGCTGAAATAAAAAGATAGCGTGTCACCTTTTTCAACTCCGCGGGGAACACACACATTGGGCAACTCAAATTTTTCTATGCTCTGGCTGTGTCCACAAATGACAAGAAAAGTGCCAGGAGTCTTGATTTTGATGTTAACAGATAAATTTTAGCAGATAGGTAGAATAGCAAACACAGAATCCATGATAATGAGAATTGACTGTATTTCAAGTTAAACAATGGTCACCTAATTGGTAACATGAAGATAATGAGATTTTATTGTAGACAATCAATAATAAACAGCAACCTGACATGGCAGAAGATAAAAGGACCAACCAATCTTTCAAGCTATAGATCTCTAAAAACTTGTTTTTACAGAGTAGTGAATATTATATAAATACTAAAGCAATTTAGTATAATGGTTAAGAACATGGATTTTTAAATCAAAAAAATGTAGGTCCCACTGTAAGATCTATATTATATTAGTTTTGTAAGATTAGTGAATTTCTTATACTGTCTAAGCCTGTTTTCTCATGGTTCAGCACAGCATAGTTAAAAAGTAATTAATATCTACACCATAGAGTTGTGAAAATTAAATAATGCAAAGTGCCTGTCATGTAGTAAGCACTGAATAAATGGTATCTGGTTGTTGCTGTTGTCATTACTATTATTATTAGGAAATGACAAACAGGGCATGGAATACTCAAACGCCATCAAATAATGAATCATATTTTCTTCAGCATCTTTATCAGGTTGTAAAGTCAAAGCCTGACACCTCTGGGCATCTAGTTTTCTCATCTCTGGTCCCAACCTGTTTTTATGCAAGAAAAAGTACCCAGTCTCCCAAGAGCAAGGACCACCCTAAAAGCAGGCCTATCCAGGGCCTAATTGTGTGTATTTCGGTAACTTATTTACTATGATTTGGAAAAAAAATTCAAACTTACCTTTAGTGTGCTAAGAGCGAACTCATCTTTAACTTTTGTAAGTTGAGGAAAGGAGCCTCCATCATCCCTTGAACATAGATCTAAAAGGACAAAATTTTGGAAGCACTAAGGATTTTGTAGTTAAATATGAATTCTAGTTTTTAAAACTTGTCATTCATGAGGAAACTCTCTATAAATTCACAATGATCATTAAAAACATTGATTGCTACATCAAATAGTCCTAAATATCATACATTACAAGGCTGAGGCTGATTCTTACAACAAATCAGACAATTCTGAAATGATCTTTTGGATACTTAATAATGCTATAAAAAGTAGTGGTTCCTCTTCTAGAGACCCAGAACCCCTTAAGGCCCTCAAAATATTTTCAGTCTTCAAATATTTCTAACATTTCAATAAGATTTCCTTGGAAGCATCAGTTCTGTTGGTATTCACAAGCACCTCACACTAAGAGCAGAGTGAGATCCTTTGGAACAGCACAGTCCACAATACTCAAATATCTCTTTCAAAATCTAACCCACAATCTGAAGGCTGCCTTATTCTGAACCAAGGAGAAATGAGAGAATTTAGATCACAGTATTTGCCTGAACAGTCAACCTGGTTTCTAGACTTCAAGACAAAGAGAAGAACCACAAATCACTCAACTCAAAATCACTGCAAAAAATATACACCTAAAGAGACTAAGTTTGTCAAAGAGAAGGAGGATACTAAAATAACATGGAACTTAACACACCTGACTTCCTCTCCTCTTCCAGTCCCAAGCTACCCAGCTGTTCCCCTAAATCAGTAGGCTCTGGATCTAGGGGTCAGCTGAGTATGAGGGAGAGCTTGGGCTTTGGGAAAGGTCCAGCAGGAAAATCTGGGACTGGGCTTTCTTCTCTAAGGAAGAAAGTGAGAGTGAGAGAGACAAAGACAGAGAGAAAACAAATGCTGATCACTGCTACGGAAGAACCCAAGAATAAGTATCAGAACATGAGAGACCCATAAACATTCATGAACCAATCAATGTGAGACAAAATCAACACAGGTCCCACATGAGTGTTCCTGCTGTCCCTGATCCCCCAGAAGACAAAAAAAGAACTAGACAGGTGAGCCATCCAGAGGCTAAGAGATATGATGCCTTAGTACACACTGGTTACCTGCCTGCCACTCTACCCCTCGCTGACTTCACCATCTATCACTGCATGACCAGGGAAAATAATAACACATCTAAGAAGATCTATAGTTCAGCCAACTCATGTTCACTTGTACGCATTCTCCTCTCCTTCTGGAGTACCTGGCAAGACTATACTTCTTAGCCTCTTTGCATTTAGGTAGGGTCTTTATTCAATGAAATATGAGTTCCAGAATGAGGCATTTAAGAGCTCCTATGCCACCCCATAGGGAGTACCTGGCAAGACTATACTTCTTAGCCTCTTTGCATTTAGGTAGGGTCTTTATTCAATTAAATATGAGTTCCAGAATGAGGCATTTAAGAGCTCCTATGCCACCCCATAGTCTTTCTTGCCTTTGTAGGCAACCTCAGAGCAGCGTTACAGATGGTACCTCCATAAGATAGTGACCCTGGGTACCTGAGCATCTTTGTAAAGCACATGCCCTTGTCAATTCAAGCAAGAAGTAGACGTTTGGTGGGTTAAGCCAAGAAATTTAAAGATTGGTTTGTTACCGTAGACCAGACTAGCCTAACCAATACAGGGACTCAATAGTCAGAGAGAGGAAATTCAAATGGGAAATAAAACTGCTAGGAGCAAGCATGACAATTTAAACTCAAAATAATAAGAGCACTTAAGGAAATGCAAGCAGAACACTAAACAAATGCTCTCTGGAACTAAATGTTTTTTCAATATGCAGATTTCAATATTCAAGCAGATTTGAGGCAAATGTGCTGCCAGTAAAAACCCTGATCTAAAAAAATTAATTACAAACCTCCAATCAAAAAATCAAATTATCTAAAATAAAATAAAGGAAATAGATCTCTTATCTGCATCTCTGGAAGCCAGAAGACTAGGATTAACATCTAAAAATATTGAGGACTGAAAAAACAGAAAATCTATACATCTAATTCCAAACAGGTATGATATATGTAAAATGTCAATGTTAAATAATTATTGAAATAAAATGGACATACAGAGGGAAAATTCTAATTAAGAGTCTAGAACTAAAATCAAAAAAAATGAGGAGTAGGAGGTGAAGTGAGGTAGTCTCACCTGCTGGAGGGAGAAGAAGAGAGAAGAAGGGAAGTCAAAAGCTTTTCAAGGTCTTCTAGATGGAGTAGTTTGGTAAGTGAACTAGTTGCTGTGTTATCTGAATGACAGTAGAAAAAAAAGTGCCTAATTGTGAGCTCCAGAAAGGGAAGACAAAATTTAAGGGCATAATATGTGAACAAATGGGAAAATACATTGTGTTCTTGGAAGGGAAGATTTAATCAACAAGGTCAATTCCACATCATAATGTATTCCAATTTAAAAACCAAAAGTGTCTTTTGTTATCATAGTTTTCTTGTTTAGAATCAGATTGAATTACCTTGAAGTACATAAGTAGAATACTCCTACAAACATCTCAAGAGAATAGGAAAGAGTGAAGGGTAAATGGTGATGACTTTAACAAAGGTAGAACCATGAATCTAGCAATATCTCAACCCATGTGAACCCACGACCCATTGATGCTGCCAGGGTTTCACCGTCCCCTTGCTCCCACTTCCTCCTGCCACCTCCTTATCCTTTCTTATCCAACTTTTGTTCTTTAGTCCATTGTTGCAATTCTTTTAAACACTTTCAATTTCCTTGCCTATCTCTCCTTTATAGTACTCACTTCTTCAAACCTCAAGCCCCACTAAATCCAGCTCTCTGCTTACCTATATCTGCACCCCTGAATTTTAATGCAATTGGAGAAAAAACATGTTGACTTTCTCACTTTAAACTCAAAACTGCTCACAGAGCTGCCCAGCAGTCCTGCTCCATTTCCCTAGCTCATTTACTACTTCATCCCTTCTCTTCTCTCCTTGAATTTTCAACACTTTCTCCCCCATTTTTACCCTCGGTTGATATTCTTGTTTCCTATTCCAATAAAGAGACAGAAGAAATTAGCAAATAACTTGCACAAATTCCCACAACACATCTGTCCATCCACCCGTATGTGAACCTATACACTCTGCCCTTCACCTTGTCATTATGGATGAACTTCATGCCCCCATCTAGAGCCAAACCCCCCACTTGAGCACCAGTTCGGGTCCCTCTGTGCCCACTTAAGGTTATCATGTTAGATATTCCTCACCCCATCCTGTGCATCATCATTTTTTCCCTCTTTCTATTGAATCATTCCCCTCAACACAAAACATACTGCTACTTCTTCAGTTCATTTGTTTAAAAAAACTCTTCTGTCCCCTTTAGCAGCCTCCCCATTTATCTGCTCCCTTCATGGCAAAACATCTCAGGGCTTATCTATATCCATTCACTCCAATTCCTCTCTACCAGTTCTGCTTAAACCCACACCAATAAGGGTTGATTCAACAAAATTTATCTTCTACATTCTCCAAACATATCCTTTTTGTTAAGTCCAATCTCCATCTTAGTTAAATATTGATTCAATTGATCACTCCGTCCTCCCGAAAATACCGTGTACACTCCTCCCTTCTCAGTTTCCTATGTTGATTTTTCCTCATTTCTTTGACCTCATCCTATGGGTGATCCCAAACATTCATTCCTTCATCTCTTCTCTTCTCCATCTACACTCACTTCCTTGGAGATCACACAGTCTTAAACTTTTAAATACCATCCATAGGCTAATGATTCTGAAACATTTTTCCAGCATGGACTTCTCTCCTGAACTCCATAATCACACATCAGACTATCTACTCTTTAGTTACACTCAGAAGTCTAAAAGGTATCCTAAACTGAACATGTCTAAAAGTGAACTCTTGATCTTCCCTTCTAAATCTTTTTGACTCTATCGTCGAAATACATCCGAATCTGGCAACTTCTCACCATCTCCACTGAAACTACTCTTGCTAAAGCAATCATAAGGTCTTAACTGAATTATTCAATAGCCTTTTACATAAAAATATTATTGTGGTATTATAATTATCCTTCCTTTTAATTGGCCCAGTCTAGTCTCAATACAGAAAGCAGAGTTAGCCTTTAAAAACTTGCAGTCCTTCCTCTTACAACTTTCCAGTGGCTTTCAAACTCAGTCACAGAACAAAAGCCAAATTGTTTATTATGACCATCAAAGCCTCCCATAATCACTCCATTATCTCTCCAACTTCATCTTCTAAAACTTTCATCTTGTTCACTTTGCTCCAGCCACACTGGGTTCTTGCTGTTCCTCAAGCCTGCTAGGCACACTCCCATCTCAGGGTCTTTGTATTTGTTGTTCCCTTTACCTAGAATGCTCCTTCTCAAAAACTCACATGTCTCACTCCCCCTCTCCCCTTTTAGACCTTTGTTCAAATATCACCTTCTTAGCAATACTTTTCCTGACAATGCTATCTTAAATTACATCCCACTGCCACACTCCCCAAGCCCCCCTTTCCTGTTTCCAAAGCATTTGTTACCATGTAACCCACAATGAATTTATCTGATTTAATGCCTTTTTCTACCATAATAAGTTTTTTTTTTTTTTTTTGTCTTTTGTCTTTTTTCCATGTCCGGCAACGGATCACAACCCT